GCATGTCAGTTTTTGTCTATGTTTAGGACAGAGATGCAATTATTGAATTAATTGACCCTTCTAACTGTAGAATCATCTTAATATGAGAAAAATAAAGTTGTAGGTAACTTCCTCAGCTTTTCAAAAAGTTATGGTTCATGTTTGTTGGAGACCTAGAACTCCAGTTATGCTTCTCTGAAGTTCCTATCAGTTTTCTGTACCACTGTTGTTGGATTGCATTCGCAGTTTTGTTTGTGCAATTATTTTCATGGTGTAAATGATGTTTGCTATGGTTGTAGTGAATACAAAAGTTGTAGAAAATTTCATGATCTTGCTTGTGTTCAAAATTGTAAGGTCATAGGACAGATAGTGTAGGAGTTACATGATTTTTAAGTCTTCTGTCAGGTTTTGATTGTATTCTGAGTAGATCTGGAAGATGCTAGTGTTTGATCTAGTTAGGGTTTGAATGAGCTTTTGATGATAATAACAAAGTTGGAGATAATTCATGTATCTAGCTTCTGTTAAAATTTGGTGGCATTTGATTTTGTGGTTTGTGAGTTATGCCTGTTTAAAGTTGGGTTACAGAATTGATTGCTCTCTGTCAATTGTGGATAAGTTTCTGTAAATGGGTATATTTGACTTAGTTAACTTGAGAATCATGCTAATATGATTAAAAATTAATTGTAGAAAATTTCATAAGCTTTCCAAAATGTCTTCTTGTAAATCATTTGGATTTATGTAACTCCAGTTATAGCTAAATCTTGTAGCTGCTGTTTGCATGTCCAGAAATTGACAGATTCCAATTATAGTTGTTTGCTTGTATATTGCTAAGTGTGGCTCATACCTTTGATGATGGTTGAGTTAGAGTACCTGAGATCTTGGAAAATTTGTGTCATGCTTGGGTTGTCATCTTCTTTGCTATCGTGGGATGATAAATTGTGCGATATTTAAAGTAGGCAATGCGAAGTGCTTGTGCATGATTAATGTAACCTTGTGCTTGTCTTATTTACTGCATGCGATGCATTGTCTATTGCACTTCCATGTATTCATACACTTGCATATTGCATCTCATCTAGGTACGCTAGATGCACCATGTGAAGGATGCGATGTTGGAGCCAAACCCGAAGACATCGTTTGATGGATCTATCCCGAAGATGGAAGGACTAAGCAAGTGCTAAGACCTGAGATGTCACCAGGACGGTGCAACCTAACTGAACTGACTTATGTCGGATCCTAGGCAAGCCCCGGAGCATATTAAGCCTCCTAATTTTCGAAATGCAGTTACAGTATTATTGTTACATATATTTATTGTTGCATTAAGTTTAGGTGTTGGATGCAAACACTTGCTGCATTGGTTATCCAATCCTTATCCAGATATTGATACCTTGAATCCTATGTAGCTCAGGCTCGTGTAGTGCTTAGTCCTGCTTAAACACGGTAGAAGTCAGGTGATTTCCTGTCACCTGCGAGAGATAGGAAGATACATATGGCACGGTTGGATATATTTGCTATCGTGGAAAAGAACCAGTCTTAATTTGAAATAAAGACCGGACGGAGGCTTATCGGTTTGCAGTGACTCCATCTATGTCGATTAAGGACTGAATCTTGGAGCCTTTCCTGTTCATGTTGAACGCATGCCTCTCTCTTAGTTGGCCGTGTCTGAAGACCGACCACAAAGCCGAGTAGCTCACCTCAGGCTGGGAGTCGATAAGTATAAAGTGCGCCTCGGAAGGGAGACGTAGGTGTGAGTCCAAGGGCAGGTGATTTAAAAGTCCTGATCGTCCTGTAAGAAGGGTAATCCCTGAGAGTGCTGGCGCTGATCGAACCCGCGAATTTGGTTCCTGAGTTGTTCCAAAGGTGACCCACGGCTACCCTTGCTAAGTATGCCAGGGTGAGAGTTAGGAATACCCCCTCAGCTGAGTTGTAATTCGATTCGAGTCGCCGTCTCTCCAGGTTAGTGAGAACTTGACGGGCTTATCTCCAATGTAGACACACTAAATAACATAATGGTTCGGAAATGATGATATGATGATGACAGCCTTATTATACCTGCTATGGTTAATATTGATTGCTCCTAATAAGTGAGTGCTCTAGTACAGGTGATAATCTAGTGGACAGGTAAATGATGATAAGCTTGATGCTAAGTTTAAATTGGTTACTATGCTCATAAGCTCTTTTATGCAAATGTGTCAAGCTAGCCCACCTCATAAGCCTTGCATGACCCTTGGTGTCATTTGTTTTGGTTTTCGACGGGTAAGTCTGGCTGAGTACATTCGAGTACTCAGGGTTTATCCCACCATGTTGCAGGTGAAGTTCTCGGCTTGTTGAAGATGGTGGCTAACCACCGATGGGCTCGGTGATTCTATAGTTACTTCTCATCTATATGCTTTTGTCGGATGATGTCACTTATGCTAGCAATGTATTTGGAACATATATTAATGTAATCTTTTGAAAGCTATGTTGTTTTCACTAATCGGTTTTGAAATCCAAACTTGTACTATTTATTTTTGAATTCATTTGTAATATTATTTTCCGCTGCAACCCTGCGTATGTGATGTGTATTTGCTTAATCACGTGATCTTGGTTGTGATGTTGATTTACCGAGGTCTTTCGGGACACTCGGCGGACTACCGGGTTTATATGAGTGAAGGTATGTGTGTGTCAATGTGTTAGCGGAGACAGCCATACTTGATCTTATATAAATTGGGCGGTTCTGTTACAATAACCACTAATGGAACCTGGAAAGGATGGTACCAAGTGGCTAGCCATTCAGTTTCAGAACGAACAAGTCAACAACAGTACACCTACGGACGACCACCAAGAAGGAGCAGCAGCCAAGTGCTTCCTTGGTTTCTCTGATTTTGTATTACAGGTAACTTTGTGGTTTGTTCTTTGCTTCTCTAGATCTAAATATGTGATTTTTATTTGTAATAATGTTTTACAATCCCCTTTCTTGCTGATAGTTTTGTGGATAGATTGTTGAATAGATAGCCAGGGTTCTGGGAGTTAATTATCCCCATATCAGATGGAGGAACCGGAGTTAGTAGGAGTTAATCTTCGATAGCAATGGAGGAGGAGAAGACGACAGATGACAGTAAGATCGAGAGGGGCCACTCTATTAATCTGTATATGGTGCCAGCGGCTGTTGTAGAGGCGAGGAGCACTCAGGGGACTGGTGAGACAGATGCAGCGGTGTCAGGAACCAAGGATGCAGGCACCGAGAAGGTAGAGCAATCCGGTGGTGTTGGTCAGAAGTTGCAAGAGTGAGCAGGTCGAAGTTAAGAAAGTGAAGTCGAAGGTTGTGTACATGCTGCCAACCTTCACCCTGTTCGCTTGATCGTTTCTGTAGGTTATAAGCCGGCTGGTGTTGTTTTGTTGTAAGAGAAAAACATTGTATCATGGCTGATAAGCATGGCCGATACGATCAAGCAAAAAGGGTGCCTGTCAATTAAGAAGGCTGGATCCGAGTGTTCAAGTGCTCACCATTGTCAAAGAAGGATGAGAACTCTACAGCTTAGACTATCTATTATCCTGAAGTTAAGAGCTTAGATCATATTTTTTTTGTTTGTATCTCTATATTAGTAAATAAAACAGTGTAATAAAAGAACACAGTTGACCACTCGCTCTGACATGTAACCGGTGTGTTTGAACATTCATAGGGACTTTTTTTTTTACTTCTGGCTATTCAGCTTCTAGACCCTTTATCCGTCCCTTCCATTTGCTTGTAAGAGCAACTATTTTTGAGAGTCTACCTATCAAAAACATCGTAGTAGTATTGTTGATGATGTTGAGGCAAGAATGCCTCATTTAGATGTTTCTTTTTTTAAGAAAACATTTACATGTTTCAGTGGCATGAATATCTATGAAAATATACTGTTTTGTATGAAAATTGGCGCCGTGTTTTGTAGCATATTTATGTGAAAAACTTAAAATATAAGTTTGTTACTAGCTGCATCGCACGGGCTCATACCTAGTTGATGAAAAATGATTCAAGCATGAACATCAACTTAACTTGCTGCCATATGTGCTCGAATAAACAAGCATGCATAAACTGGAAATGAGCACATTTGGCCATTCGTTTTCTCATGTGAAATCAGCACAGGCAGAGACGACAGTGAAATGAGCACATTCAGAAACTGCAACAGACGTCGCACAGGTCGCAATCCCACAGGACGGTTAGGATTTGGGTGGATCAGGATGCAACACAATCCCAAAGTTGTTTAAGTTACCACACAATCAAATTAAAAACAAGTGGTGCCCTGTCTCAGACTCTGGACCAACTCACTGCCAGAAGCTTTTCATGCCACGCCGTTTTCTTGATTCGCAAATCTAGTATAGATTAGTTCCGGTCAAAAGCTAGCTAGTACGTGTAGTACTCGTCAACCGCCACGGAAAAGAGCGATATTACCGATGTCCACCAGTGATGGCACGACAGTGCTAGCTACATGCTGTGTGCTGCCTGGTTCTACCGCTTGAAGACAAGATCTGCTATATGTTGTTTCATTTGTATTTGATAATATTTATGAATAATTTAACATATATTTTCTGATGTCTGGATTCATAGAAATAATTTGTAATTTGTTTAAAAGAAATTTGGCATATATTTATGTTATTCCCAACTTACATCACTCTGTCCAATAAATTACACTGAAAAAATCATTATACATATAGTAATAAGTTGATGTAAATATAGCTATAAGACAGTGTAAGTGCAGAGAAAAAATCTAGTTGTTGAGAGAAGCTAAAACAATCCGTTATTGGCTAGACAGATTCTTATTTTATATATGATCGCATCGCTTTGTTGATCAAACCGCTGCCTCATCTTCTTCGCGATCGCGGTTGCTACAATCGGTCGTGTCGGGTGCGACACCAGCAGCACCGATTGGAACACGGCGGTAGGACGGCCACACCCACAACGCCAGCACCGCGGACACCACCGCGCCGAGCAGCGTCACGCCGAGGAGGATGAAGAAGGACACCCTGAAGCACTGTATGCCGATGCAGGTGTGGTGGTCCTGGCGCTAAGCCTCACGGTTGTAGAGCCGCCCCGTCACTTGCACGTTGAGGATGTACGACCCGACGGCGCCCGGCAGCACGGCCAGGTTGTATAGCGCCGCCAAGTGCCTGGTCCCGAACACCTCCGAGATGGTGACGAACACCACCGCCCACAGCGCACCGAGGCTGAACCCCATGATCGCCGAGGTGGGGTAGAGGCCGGAGGGCACGCCTAGGGCGATGAACAGATGGCCGAAGCAGGCGAGGAGGAACGCCAAGGTGAGCGCCGCCGGGCGTGGCAGCTTGTGACGAGCAACCATGTACTCGGAACCGAATCCGCCCACCAGGCGCCCGGCGTAGTCCAGTAGGCTCACCAGAGACACCAGCTTGGAGGTGGCGCCGTCCTTGTACCGGAGCGACTGCCCGATCTGGTCGATCATGTCGATCAGAGTCTGCACGCCGCCGCCGATGGCGAAGGTGACGACGAAGATAAGCATCATTTCAACGGAGAAAACAGCCCGCAGGATGCAGCGCCTCTCCAGCCGGAAGCTCGACGGCGGCGTCGGGTTGCTGTTGTTGAGCATGGACGAGGACGACCCCGCGGCTGCTGCCTCGCCAGAGGTTGCAGCCGTCGCGGGCAACGACGAGTCCTGCTTCACGGCGACGACGAGCAGGGAGATGACGACGAAGACAACGACGAAGATGGCCGTGACGTAGTAGGCGGGTCCAGGGAGGTGCGCGGCCGCTACCAGGTCGACGACGTGGAGGATGAGGAGGCACGCAGAAGCGGAGACGGAGACGAGGAGGAAAAGCACGACGCCTCTGCGTTCGACTTCCGAACGCGCCGCCCCGGTCCCAGCTGGCCCGGGCCCGGCCGGGATGACGCGGATGCTGTTGCAGGCGAAGGGCAGCAGCACCAAGTACAGACACGCCATGAAGAGCAGAAGGGCCGAGCCGCCAGAGGCGTGGCCGAACTGCGCCAAGATGTCGCCGCCGAGGCCGGCGAAGGCCAAGAGCAGGGAGAGCACAGGCCCGCGGTGGTCGGGGAGGTTCTTGACGGAGCTGACGAGCGCGCCGGTGACGGCGAAGGACTGAGAGTTGGCGCCAAGCGCGATGGAGATGCCCATGAGCCACAGGGGGTGCCGAGCGATGTGCCCGGCTACGGCGAGGTAGAGCACGAGGTTCGCCAGCACCCCGAGCAGGTTCATGGCGGCGACGGACGCGAGCACGACCCACGGCGGGGCGAAGTCGTAGATGAGGCTCGGCAGGAACCCGAAGCTTGCACCGAGGTTCTTGCAGACGGCCAGCACGCTGAGTGCCTTGTAGTCGTAGCCCAAGGAAGTCTTGATGGCCTTGGAGTAGACGGGGAAGAGGAAGACGCTTCCGCCGGCGGCCATGAGTACTAGGGTAGAGGTGACCAAGGCCACCCACCTGCCGCGGAGGAGGTGCAGGGGCGGCATTGTTGGTTAGCTAGGTTGACAGAATGAACAGGCCGGGTAAATGGGTAATAAAGACATCGACACGTCTTTGCTGTTTGGTGACCTTCAACTACTTGATACGCCGTGCATCCTGCACCACGAATCAGCCTACCAACCATAATTCTAGAAAAATCAAAGAGAAGCAAAGACGCGTGCAAAGACGACGCCAGCCACCGTCACCCGCGGGATATATGAGTCCACTTGTACTGATGAAAGGGACAGTCGGATTCGCTTTATTTGATGTGATTTAATTAATTTTATGGGATGACTGAGTTAGAAAGGTTTATTGAGTTAGAGATGCTCCACGTGTCAGACGGATTAGCATGAATCTAGGAGATTCTGAAGCAGGCGGCGAGGACCTTCATTATGATTATCGCTTTTGTGGCTGATGAAAGGCATCGATTGGGCTGGGAAGGGTCGATACTCGCTTGTTTGTGGCTGTGATTACCGTCACCCGCGGGCATATATGACATCTGTGTCATGCCCAGCCCACTTGAAAAGGCCCCAATATGTACGTAGTTCTTTACCTCTTCATGACTTTTTTCTCACTTTTCTGGCGTTATTTATAAAAATGGCTAGAGTCTAAAAAGATGTCAAATTCATGCCCAGATGGAACTATAAAAATTCAGGCTACTATTAATTTGGGCGCCAGCAGCAGCATATAACCATTTCTAAAATCAAAGAGAATGCATGGACGGTATAAATAATAACGCCACGAACAAAATATAATTCTAGAACGACCGCAAGCAAACATGGTATGAGGCAGATTTTAGTTTTCCAACATGGGAGGGTCGTTGAACGTGATGGAGAAAACAATTAGTTTTGCATCCAATGCAAAAACATCAGAGGTTGATGACATTGGGATATATAATTTATACATGAACGTCGCTTTTGTGATATTAGATCGTGTTTTGCCTAGCATTTTTTTTCTGCCCCTTAATCATTATATGTTGAAGCTGAGTCTGTTGACATGATTTGTGGTGATTGCCGTGTCTAGATCAGCCACCGTCGTGAGATGGCAGAAGGGTTGTATTGGCATAGGTTTTATTTTATTTCAGATTGTTCATCACCTTTTCCTCTATTTTTGGATAGTTAGCGACTTGAGGAAACTGATTGCCTTTTCCATCTTGAAGGAGCTAGCTTTTCTACTTCTAGTATTAGCCATATATGATTTTAGCATCAGCATCCTTCTCAATCCTCCATTTGCTCCAAGTCATTCTCCCCAAACAGTGCCTATGTGTTGTTGTCTCTCTCATATATATATATATATATGGCGGGGGGGGGCTAGTTTTATGGATTGAAGGTGAACAGCTAGGCAGGCATCCAGTGTGTACGTGTGGTGCGTGCAGTAGATGCAGCCTGCGCGCAGAGAAACCTGTAGGTGAATATTTCTATTTCTTTTTTGATTTGGATGGCACAACACACCTATATTTACATCACCAAATTTGAAAGCAGGCTAGATTTAGCCCAAGAAACTAAGAAAGAGTCAGAAATGGTTTGGATTGCCGCCGCCGATGATGCTATTTATTTCCGCGGAAATCTTAATCTATTTTATCTCGCACAAATATCTATTTTTTTTTTTACTCTACATAGGGAGTAAAAAATTTTGGATGGTCTTGGATAGAGAAAAAATTTGAGCGTCATGGTGGGGGCCACCTTGGCGCTGCAGTCGCATGAGCATGCGGACGGGGAGGTTGGGCATGCGTCCGTAGGCTAGCCACGCCGTAATCCAAATGGACTCGCGGCGTATGACATCAATGATTAACTACCATTTGAGCTGTCATATCTACCAGATCAATGAGCAAGAATGCAATGGGTCTCAAAAGTTTGATTGTACCTTGATTGCTTCAAATGAAAATCTTGTCTTGTGCCTTCCCTTCAGTTGATGCTTGAGTCTTCTCCTCCTCTTGCTTTGGCTTATTGGCGGTGACCTGTTAGAGGAGATAGTAGGATGATATCAATTTGCTGGACAATCTCCACAATTAAATAATTTATGTGGGGATATTCATTTCCCACCATTAGTTCAATTTTTTGTTCCTTCCTTTCAATTTCCTTAATCTCCGATTTAATATATCAGAATGGTTTGATTTCATAAAAACTTAATATGTTGGTTTGTACCTTATCCCAACCATCTTTCGCTCACTTGGTTTCAACGGTGGGTCTTGAGATCTTGTCTTGGTGGTAAGAGATACTTTTTTCTCACAAGATTTCTTTCTCTTCCCTCCAATTATAGCTTCAAAACCAGTTCTTTGGTTTTGTTTGAATCATCTTATTAATCAGTGGATTCACTCTAGAGTCATTGTGCTTTGCCCATAGGAGTAGACCATCTTTGCTTCAATAGCAACTAAAGGATCAAATTTTGAGTTACACATGTTTGAGCCATATTCATTGATCACTACGGACGTGATTCGAGAACAAGATACAACGTACGATGGATCCACCTCAATTTCATGGGACATCATGTTTTAGAGCCATGTTGATGTAGATCCTCCAGAGCAAACCCTCATAAGAGAGTGTTCAAATTTCCTTTGTAGCCTCCAAAGCAACCTACCACCATCATTCACTTGCTTTTCGAACAATATGAGTGTTTGAGTCACCGAGAGTCAAGTTAGACAAAACCTACTCCAGTTTGGTTTTTTTATAGGGTTATCCTCTAGGGATTTGTCCTCCTAGCTCTTATCCATTTGTTTCCTGCTGGGTTTGTGTAACCCTCTTGTTCAACCTCCCTCTAGAAATGGTAGTCACATAAATGAAAGTCTAGAACTCCATCCACAACAGATGGAACTTTGGTGACATCCCAACAACCAATTTTGATTCTCACATACTCATGTTTTGTCAAGTTTTCCTTGTCCACCTCCAAAGGCATTCCCACTTTTGAAGCCATCATGCATACATTGGAGAGAGATCACTTTTCATAGGGAGTGCCTTTGATTCTGAACCAAGCAGTGTCCAGAGGTCCCTTGGACCAAGATTTAGAATTCGACTTCTCTACTTGAACACCATAAAAGGCAGTGATCTCATTCTCATTTCAGTAAAGTAAGAAATGTCCTCAAATAGTTTTGACATTTGGAAATCTCATTTGGAACTTGTTGTCATCTATTTTCTTTGCATACCATCTCCAAGTAGAAGCTGGGCCAACTTTTATCTTAAACTAATTCTCAACTTGTTTAGCATTAACTATCCCTTTAGTTATAGTGATCAAAGCAATATTGGACATGTCTTTGATTCCCTCCTCAGAAGAAGAATTCTTGATAAAGTGAAACCCTTGTCCATATATAGGCAACCTGAAAAAATGGAGAAATAAACTCCCAAGGTAATTTCTCAGAGCAAGCTCTGGCCACATGGCCTTCCTTTCCACATCCTTCACATTTGACAGGGCTGGGATAAACATCAGGCGGTGACCTAGTTTGCCACACCTCATACATATCACATTGTTTCCATATCTGTTCTTCTTCTTATCCTCCATAATGCCCCCCTATTTTTTAGGTGGCTTCTCCTTATCTGACTTAATTATGGCATTGCTAGTGTTCGTAGTAGACCGTTCCTTCGTTCTCCACAGATTCAAATTTAGACTCAGTCCTCTGTTTCTCCACCCTTTTCTTTGGACATCTTCCTACTCTACCTTGTTATTTGGATTGTGCCTTTCTCTATACCATTTATTCCCCTAATTCCATATCCACATCCCCCTCTATACATGTCGCCTCCCCTACTATTCCAAATCCAGCCAGGGTGACCAGGACCTCCTCCAAATCTGTCTCCCCTGTTCAGATAGTTTTGTCTTTGATCCATGGTGTCTCGAGGCTACGAAGGAGTCTGGACCACCTGTGAGAAAAAACCTAGTATCCCCACCAAGCATGGACCAGAGAGCAGCTGCTTCGCTCCACGAAGGGGAGTAGAGATGTAGGGATGAGAAGACTCAAAAGCGATAGTTCTAGCAACACAAATCGAATCACAGACACCACACTCCTCACTATGCTTCTAGATATGAACTAATCACACGATCAAGTCAGCATCCGGATGATCACTAACCTCATACGGAAGTTGATACACTTGCTTTTTCGATTTCTTCAGCTATTTTTCTCCCAAACTAGAGGAATCGGAGCATTTAGGGTTCCATTCCGAAGTCGCCGATGCTGAAGCAAGTCATGAGATATGATCATATGAGTGGGTGAGAGATGACCTAGCATGTAGGGTTTAGTTGTGTCAGTTGACTTAGCATTTGTATGTATGCAACTAATAGCAATAATGTTTTTGTGCATAATGGGCAAACATGTTTGAATAATTTGATGTTAAGATATTTTATGTCCTGTCGTGAACCAAACTCACGGCACATGCTCGTACGAGTTAGAATAATGCAGATCTCAGTATGATACAGATCGAGTCTGATTTCAAGATGTAATAGTACATTTTTTTTAGAAGAGATGTAATAGGACATGTGAGGCAGGATACAAATCCTGTTGCAAAGCTCAAACATGTTTGCTATAGTATATGTATATATAATGGGCCTTGGACCGGTGCTGTTGCTGTCACAAAATGGAGCCGGCCCGCTGGTGTCACGTACCAACCGTAGAATGCATGGGATGAATCAATTCCATGGGCTGGGCTGGACGGTTGGAGTTTAATTTGTGGCACCAGCACGGCTTCCTAGACCGAGTCGGTCGATGCCGAACACCGTACCGCGCGCACCGAGTGCACTCCACACGATCGATGTGCATTGCCGTTATTACCTCCGATCCGATCCCTCCTGTAAAACCAAGCACGAGGTCTTGTTTTTCGTCACCAAATCTTGCCTATGCTTTCCTCATCCGCCGAGGCCGGTCCTGCGCGGCACAGCGAGAAGAAGAAGCGTATGCGCTGTGGTGGCGGCGGCGGCGCGGTAGCCTCGCCGGAGCCCAGCGCCATGGCCGTGTCCTCGCAGGTATGGGTCGGTCGCCCACCAGATATGCACGTAGATCCATCTGCCATTGTTTATACCCATATGC